GCAGAACTCATAATTACCTGCCATTATTGGAAGTAATATTCCCAGGCTAAATATCTCCCTAGGTTCGATTGTCAGTCTAGTGAGTTAGCGCTGAGGCTTTCTGTATTTTATTGCATGCATGGCTAATAGGCATGTGTAGCTGTGATACTTTTTAGGATTATAGCAAACTTGGAGCAGAGTGGACTTACGAGGAAGTAGCTGAATGTCTAAAGTAGAACTTTTGAAGTATTTATTTGAAGATAGGCTTCTTGAATACCAATGATTTTCTTCCAAACACGCAAGTTGTGGAACTTCTAACTTCCGCTAAATGCTTTCATTACTGAGGAAAAATGACTATGATAAAAGATAGAAAAAGGGGAGGGATCTTTTCACCTAGTTGATTTGCAAGTAAAAGAGAACAGGAAGTAAGAGGACCTTTCCACTTATGTTCTTAATGCTTTTTTATATTGGGAAAATAGAAGATTTTGTCTTCTCCTTTCCAAAATCTTACGGAAATGATGAGGAAGGATAAATGTAGATAAGTTTGCCCTTTTAACCACTCATGCTAAGGATATAGGAGCATCAACTCTTTCCTGTGAGCTCTCGAGGAGCAGGAGTAATCGTTATCAAGATATCTTTTGTGTTTTTCCATTGTTCCCAGGGATTCCTTTTGAGGATCTGTTCCCATGCTGCAAACACACAAATCCGAACTGGTGGAGCTGGAGCTGGAGAGGAGAGGAGCAGTAGGGTAACAAAGAGGTTTTTGGGAAGGTGGGAGGGAAAATCAAGAGACTGACGAGGCTTTTGTTCTCAGATTGTGTCATGACGATCTTTAAAGGAGAGGTCAAGTAAAGACATGCGTGGTTGTTTGGGGGAAGGTTGAGGGAAGATCTGAATTTCCTGAAGGTAAGGTGAGCAGCGAAATGGTCGGTATAATGTTCTGACATGGTGGTGTTTCGCGAGGTTAATAGGGTTATGGGTTTTTATGGAAAAAGTTAGTTTCACACTTTTATTTGTAGTTTCACCTAATACCCTCTGAGAATTGCCTCTGGGAGTTGAAACGTTTTTTAATTGTTAGACTACTTTATTAGGAAAAGGTGCCGTTGGTGGACTATATTCTCTAACAGTGACATCTGAGGGACCAGGAAGGAAATTAGGGCAGAGTCCATGGACCGTTTTGATAAAAGCTTGCTATTTCCTTATTCCTGAGTGCCACCTTTCGAATGAATACTTGTTTTTTGGGTGTTCTGAAGTATAATTGATGTTTCTAGTCGAGCATAAAAATGACATGTTTCTCTCTTCCACCGAGCAAGGGATAGGGATACTCCAAACCAGAAGAAAAGAAAATAACCGTGTGCTTACACTTGCATGCATGTTTTATGGTACATCCATGAACATCTTTCCCACCACTTCATCTACCTGAACAAGATATCAACCTGGAAGAAGAGAATGCACGTGTGCTTACAGTTGCATGCGTTTATTGGTACAACTTTAAATATATCCGCTGCCAAGCTTTCTTGTGCAATGTGATAGTTCTGTTTATGAGTGGTTCTTTCTAGTAAAATGTGATAGTTCTGTGTAATCTGCTAACACAAACTTGGTTATTCCTATATAAACTGTTTGACCTCATAGCTTCACATAAACAGAGGCGTGCACAGGATCTTTTGTAAGCGATGTCAACATTTAAAGAAGTGAACAAATGAACAAATCAATGTCTAAAGTAATTTTAAAAGCACAATTCAGATCATATTAATAAAGCACAATTTATTTATGTTATTACAGCTCTCATGGACGAGTTTTCGTTTCTTGAAATGTATTCATAATTGCCTCATTAGAATAGTACTATGTTTTCGTTATATGTAATGTCATTGTTTTGCACCGCCTGGGCTAAGGTGCATCCGCCCGGCATATAAACACATTTAACTGTCAAGTGCATGAGTTAGTCACATATTAAATGTTCTCTGAACGAGGGAATATTGTGCAAATCATCTCCCCATATGCATTTACTATATGCCTCTTCTATAATTGTTTCCTAAAAAGACTGAAGCATACTCTCTTTTAGGCTCGCACGTGTTAAAGTGTTGCAGTTAATAGTTTCTGTTAGCTATTTTCTTAAGTGCATTTGATTCTATATTAGTGTGGGCTGCTGATAGGGAAGTGTTAATGTTGGATTTTGTAGATATCACTACAATGTTGCAGACTCTAGGCTCCAACAGCATGTAGACAAGGGAAATGAAGATGGTCTTTACATCAGCTGTGTGGCTTCAGCTGCCAATCTTTGGGCCCTAATCATGGATGCAGGAACTGGTTTCTCGTCCCAGGTTTACGATCTTTCAGCTGTCTTCCTCCACAAGGTTGTCATCTGAATCACCTACAGTTTTTGTCCCTTTACTTCCTCTGCAGGGAAGATTCTTACCTATAACTCATTTTTGGGTTCTTCTTAGGATTGGATAATGGAACAGTGGGAGAAGAACTACTATATCAGCTCAATAGCCGGAGCAGCTAATGGAAGTTCTTTGGTTGTTATGTCCAAAGGTTAGATGTTAAAGGAGTATGATCTGATTAATTCACATATCAGGGCTTTAACCAATGTGCAGATAACTGCTGAAAAAGTAGTATCAAGTTATTTTCGACACCACTTAATTGCTTGCCATCATAGTCATTGCCGCCTACCTAGCACTTTGTAGTCTCCTCAAGGTTGAGGTTGCCTATGGTTCATGACTGCTCACCAGAAAATGAGCTCCACTGTCAGACTCCTGGGACAAGGAAAAGCTACAGGAACACTTCTTTTGTGTTCTTCTGTCGAAATTATGTTATCCAGTATTGGTAGAGAATACCCTTGGATTTTCCAAGGCAAAGACGGAAAGGAAAAGGGCATCCCATCACTAGAATGGATGATTGCATGCCAGTCGTCTCAAGATAATGGTTGTTGCTTCTACAATTATTATAGATGGTTAACTTTTATCTGGTTTTGGTTGACCCAGAATTCAAAAAAGGATACCAAATTCCTCCTCTTGATGCATATGTTCTCAATGTAATCGCCATATATACCTGCCTGCTTGATGAGCTGTACTTTTATTAGCCGCTGCAATTTGCTTGCTAAGGTTTCACTTGCTGAAGATAGTTGAATAGAGTTTTAGTCCATGTGTCTATAAACACTCTATTGACTACTCTTGGTGCTTGCTGAAACAGGAACTCCTTATACACAACAGTCTTACAAAGTAAGTGAATCATTTCCTTTTAAATGGATAAATAAAAAGTGGAAAGAAGGCTTCCATGTCACATCCATGACCACTGCTGGCAGCCGGTGGGGCGTGGTGATGTCCAGAAATTCTGGATATTCTGAACAGGTAAGATAGCTTCCATTTGGTGGCCACTTCTAATGCATTTCTTGTTTCCCTCCAAATAGAAGAAGCTTAAAATAGATGATTCCATGCAGGTTGTAGAGCTTGATTTTCTCTACCCAAGTGAAGGAATACATCGAAGATGGGAAAGTGGTTATCGAATAACTTCTATGGCTGCTACTGCTGATCAAGCAGCCTTCATATTGAGCGTACCAAGACGTAAAATGATTGATGAGACTCAAGAGACCTTGCGGACATCTGCCTTCCCAAGCACCCATGTAAAGGTGATCAGTCTCTCATAATCAGATGTTTCCTTTGCATATTGCATTTTCCTTAACTGGAGGAATAAACAGTAGTTATTCTCCCCCTGTTCTTCCAAATCTTCACAAAGGGATAACTTGATCAAGACTTTCTTACTGGCTAGTTTTACTTTTTCTCTACTCCCACGTCAAATCATAGGCTCTCATATTTGTGTAATTGCTAAATCATCAAATGCACTGAAGTTTGCGGAATATGTTTTACATAGTGTGCAGGTAAGCTTTTCGTTCTTTCCCTGTTTCTGGTTGCTTATTGCTTGCATTCATTTCTCAGGAAAAATGGTCCAAGAATCTTTACATTGCATCCATCTGTTATGGTCGAACTGTCTGTTGAGGATGTTGGTCGCCGTGATCTCAATGTTTCAAGAAGAGATATGGAGGATGGATTCATCTGGTCAAAGCTGGATTGCATCTGTAGCCGGTCCTCATTTTTCGTGTGTAAACTATGTTTTGTACGACAGCATACTGGAAAATAGGAGAAACAAACACCACTTGAGAACTTGCAGAATCATGGCCTGAAAGCAGGCTGGAGCACCAATTGGGTGGGTGACCAAAATTTACTGGTTTTGGCAGTTAAGGCTTCCAACATTTGCAATTTTTATACCTCAAATGAAAAGGGTCCATTTATTCCATAATATTATTGATTCTTGCTGCCATGTGGTTGCATCTACCCTAAATGTTTTGACTAGGGCGCTGCTGCAGGATGGCTGAGTGATATATTTCTCGCGTAACTGGATGTTTTTCTAGGTCTACTACAATGGCGAGTTTGAGAATGTACTTTTCTGACGAGAACCAAATTGCGCGACTTCTGCGATACTAGCACATCCAGATACCAATAGTTGACGATGCAAGTAAAGAAAGCATAAAACTGCAGGCTGTGTTTTAAAGCGTAAGCAGGGAAGTTCCGCTGTAATACAATGGTGTCAAGTCGAAACCAAATTAGCTTATAACAGTTGTTATGACTCAGTTCCAAACTAGTTGGCTTCAGTTCTTTAACATTGAAATCATGTATGGCACAAAACATCTCACGAGGTGGCAGAAGTGGGCTTTGGGTGCTTGTCCAATTTTGATACTTGTGATTCATGAGCCAAACATTGAAAAACAGAGAACGACTGAAAGTTGAGATCATCATTTCCATCTCCTCCCGGGACACACTAGATAAACTCCGCTGCTAGGTGTTTGGAGAATTAAAATATTGAAAAAAAAAATATATTTGAAGTTGATAGTAAAATAGAGTATTTGGAAAATAGAGTAATTCTAAGTGGAAAAGAAAAGTCTTTTTGTTGGCAGAATATCTTAACAGACACCTCTACTTGCATCGATTTGACATGCTGGTTTTCGTACTTCATGTAGTTTCATCAAGATATTTGAACCTGCTTAAAACTAATTTTTAAACCCCTCTAACCGTTGATTGAGCTCATGGGCATTTGTTTTGCCGAGTCAGAAAAATGAATCGTTACAAGCTATACATGTATTAATTTTGATTTAAAAAAAAAAAATCATTAAAAAGTGTACCCAACCNCCCCTTCCCCATTTTCTTCACCCCGCCCTGCCCCCTACCCTCCTTATTAAGTTTTGTGGATACTCAACAAGAAAACTTAAAAGTATAGTATTAGGAGAAGAATTTTCTCGAATTTTCTTTAAGGGCAGCTAAAAAACCGATCTCTTAATGGGGTTATATTTTGAAACATATCAAGAAGCTATGGAAATGCAAAGTAATTTTTTCGATAATTTTTTTCTAAGACCGTGTCCATGGTGTTCATGGGTTTTCCAAAGGGATCCGGTGAGTGAGAAAAATGTGGCGGAGTCCGCTAGTGGTCATTTTCCAGTAATGGTCTGGTTTTTCTTTGTGGTAGTCGGTGGTGAGATACTTCCAACGATATAGTTCCCTATTTTCTAGTGATGGTTTGCTGCTCATGTAAAAGTGTAGAAGCAGCAGAAAAGGTGAGCTCGAGCTTGAGCTCTAATGGAGGAATTCCAGAAGATTTTTTGAAAAGAGAAGAAACTGAGATGTTCTCATTTGGAAAATGAAAATGATACATTGTATTAACAAAGATGAGTGCGTATAAAGAAGATACACATGTAACAAAAAATATATCTAACTAATCAAACTAACCTTGACAGCAAAGCAACAGTGAGACTAACTAACTATACAACGAAATAGTATAGTTTACATATAAATATCTCAATACCTCCTCTCAAGTTGGAGGTGAGTCCTTCATAACCAACTTGCTCAGAATTGCTGTGTGTTTGACTCCAGTGCCTTGATTAAGATATCAACCAGTTGGTTGTTAGTGCCAATATAATGTAGGAACACTAGATCTTCTTGTAATTTATCCCTCACAAAATGGCACTCTACTTCAATGTGTTTAGTCCGCTCATGGAATACAAGATTTTGAGCTATGTGTAACATAGACTAACTATCACAGAACACTGTAACGTGCTTAGGGAAGGGAATTGTTAACTCATCAAATAGTATGCGCATCCAAGTAAGCTCACCAACTACATTCCTTAAGGCTCTATACTCTGCTTCAGCAAAGGATAGGGAAATTGTCTCCTGCTTTTTGTTCTTCCAACTGATAAAGACTATCCCCAAGTAGTGCCTAATATTCACTGATAGATTTGCTAGCGTCCAGACATACTGCCAGTTTGAGTCACAATATCCCCTGATGGTGCAACCAGAACTGTTAGACAAACGATCCCAAGTATAGGATCACCTCTCAGATATCTAAGTAAACGATTAGCAACTTTCATGTGAGGTTCTCTAGGGTTTTGTATGAATTGATTGAGGTGCTGGACACTGTATGCAATGTCTAATCTAGTATTTGTGAAGAAATTTGATTTCCATATCACTGTCCTACAGGATGAAGGATCTGTTAAGACTGCACCCTCTTTGGCTTTCAGTTCGACAGTGAGATCAATGGGTGAACTGAGACTGCTGTAATAAATATACTCATACTCTCTCAGTAGATCTAAGGAAAATTTTCTCTGGGAAGTGATGACACCATCCTCTTTATAGAAAACTTCTAAGCCCATAAAATAATAGTCTTCCCAATTCCTTGATTTTGAATTTGTCATGTAGGAAATTCATTAACAAAGTGATCTCCCCTGAATCATTCCCAGTGATGATCACATCATCTACATAGAAATCAATATAGATAATAGAAGAAATCAATTTTCTTATAGAACAAAGAGTAATCATGCAGAGAGTGAACATATCCATTGGAACATAGAGCCTCAGTCAATTTGGCATACCATTATCTATTGGTTTGTTTCAATCCATATAATGACTTATTCAATTTGCACACTAGGCTAGGTGTGTCAACCAGTAGTCCAGGGAGGCAGGTCCATATACACTTCCTCATATAGATCTCATGAAGGAAGGAATTATTTATATCAAGTTGAAAGATACCCCAATACTTCTTTATTACATTTGCTATGAGTGCCTTAATGGTGGTCATCTTCACAACTAATGAGAAGATCTTAGTATAATCAATTCGAGCATGCTGAGTATATCACCTTCACCACCAACCTAGCTTTGAATCTCTCAATGCTACCATCAACTTTATGTTTGACTTTAAACACCCATCTACAGTCTATTAGATTCTTCCCAGCAGGGAAGAGACTAAATACTGAGTGTGATTGGCATGAAGAGTCTCAAACTCTAGAGTCATGGCTGTTTGCCAAGAAGGATTCAAAGTTTCTACCTTATAAGAATTTGGCTCACTGTTATGACAAATATTTTGAAGAAGTTGCTGACTATCATGGAGGAAAGAGTTAAGGGAAACATGGTAATGTTGGGAGAAAAGAGCATTAAGGGAGAAGGGAGGATCTTGAGCACTAGCAGTGTGTACATTAGGAAGCAAATTTGGTATGGAGTAGATGTAATATTTCAAATTCACAGGTAGGTGGTGTTGTCTAGAGGATCTTCTAGGTTCCTAGTGGGCCTCAGTGAATGTTTGAGGACTAGTGACAGGTGACTATGATGGTAAAGGGTGAGTGAGTGAAGATGTAGGTGGTGTTGAAGTGTGTCCAGGTGATAGTGTATTAGAAGTGTCACTTGTAGCTTCTAGGGGACTATGCATAGAGTCAACAGAATGCAATTGACCAGAAGACAAATCCACAACACAAGGAACATAATTGAATACTGAAGGAAAAGCAGAAGAAGCATCAGGCAACATACCAAAAGGAATATTATTTTTATGAAAAATCACATCCCTGGAAACATGTATCTTTTTAGTGGCCAGATTCAGGACTTTGTAGCGTTTTGAATCATAGGGGTATACCACAAGTACATGAGAAGTGGTCTTAGGTTCAAACTTATCCTTATGAATCTTTGGTGTGGTAGAAAAACACAAACAACTAAAACTTCTTAAATGGAAATAAGTAGGTTTTCTATTGTAAAGGACTTCAAATAGGCATTTGTTTTTGAGATAGGTAGTAGGTAATCTATTTATAATGTAGGTTGTAGCCAATACACACTCCCCCCAATATGTCAAGGGCAATTATATTGAACAAGAGTGCCCTGAAAATTTCAAGAAGATACTTGTGTTTCCTTTCTACTTCACTATTCTGTGGAGGTATATAGGGACATGTTGTCTGATGAACAATTCTTTTGAATAGAAAAAAGAAGGTGGAAATGAGTGGATGGTTAGGAAGACCAAGATATATAAAGGATTAGTATTTGAGATTATGTAAGTTATCCAAGAGGATATTTCTATACATAAGAGGAATTCGAATTGGCTCATTACGAACAATCATTAAGGCGGTCTCCAATCTCGTTTGGTTTGGGGCGATCACTTGAACAGGGTATATACAACAAAATATTAACAAATTCTAAACCATTTTCAGGTCTGAGGCATTTAACACTGGGTTTCAATCATAGATATGAAAGTTTTGATAACTTGTAAAGCATTGCTTTTACAACTTAAGAGATGGGTCCAAGTGGCCCTGCTGTGATTGTCCACCAAGGTGAGAAAGTATTTTTAATTATCATGGTTAGAAACATGATAGGTTCCCCACTGGTCAACATGAAGAAGATAAAAATACAACTGATAGTGCTAGTTCTCTGAGGAAAGGGAAGTGTAGGTTGTCTAGCCATGGGAAAATAGAACAAAGGAAGGGCTGCTTAGGTGAGAATTGAATAGGTATGGAAGATAGTCCCCTCATCTTAACAAAAAGGCACATGTCTCAACTTAGAATGTCACAAAAAATACACATCATTCTTATCAGATGAGAAAGAATGGGAAGAAAAGCACTAAGCTTTATCGCAACTGGAATCATTTATAAGTGACTAAGAACGCTGATAGTGAAAGCTATTTACATCACAAGAACCAGAAAAAGTTGAACATGGAAGTGATGAATTGAAAGTAAAAACTGAAATGGAATAGGAATTCCTTAGATAACTTGAGCAAAGGAGGTACAAGCCATCCTTGACTTTTCCAATCTCCAGAGGCCTCTTTATTAAAGGGGCCTGTAACAGACATGGAAAATCAGTAAAGGCAACCAAACCTTTAAGATGAGAAGCCAAGGAATGAATTGAAATAAGATTGTACTTAAAAGATGAAACACAACGTAACAATCCGACCGATCATTTTAAAATTTAGCACTTTATTTGGGGAGGGGGGAGGGGGGGTTGAGACTTTAAGTAGCTTCATATTATGTATTATGACTTGTGTGTATGGTTGGTTTCTACTTTTGAGAGGTGCAAAGTTGATTTGGGAAAGTAATTCTTAATTCAAATGCTTTAAGTTGGAAAAGTTGACTAAGGTTTGACTTTTGAGTAAATAATCCAAGAATCGGGATTTGATGGTTTCAATAGGTTCTTATGGTGATTCTGGACTTGGGTGTGTGTTCAAATTTGAATTTGGATGTTCCAAAAAGATTTTGGCTCAATTTCTCGAAAGTTGGCGATTTGAAGAATTCAAGAGTTTACAAGTTTGATCGAGAGTTGACTTTGATGGTATCGGGTTCAGATTATTATTTAGAAACTTGGAATATTTTTTTATTAATTAGAACTTGTGTGCAAAGTTTGGTTGTAATCCGAAATGTCTAACTGTAGTTCAGACGCGTTCAACAAAGTTGAAATGTTAAAACTTAAGAGAATAAGCTTGGCCTTCAATTCTTGGTTTTGATGTTAGTTGTGGTGTTTTGAGACTTTGGATAAGTTTATGTAATGTATTTGGACTTTTTGGTATAATTGGACGAGGTCCCGTGTGGCTCAGGGTGGGTTTGGACCACTTTGGGTTGTGGTTACAATGATGATTTCTGGTGCTTTCCTGACGAGCTCCATGATCGCATAAGGTGTTTTTGGGTGCTGCTGATTTGTTCATCGCATTCCCAAAGTGATGTGGGAGCTATCCATCGCGTTCGCGCGTTAGGCTATGCATTCACAAAGTACTAGGGGAGGTCGGTCAGCAGACGCTCGCGTTTGCATCTTGACTCTCGCGTTGGCGGAGTGTTGAGGCTAGTTGACCTACGCGTCCACATGCTATAGGCTGTGTTTGCAAAGCAGTGTATGAGGAAGGGTGATTTTTTATATCGCGATCGTGATTGTGGTGCCGCGATCACGTAGAGTACTGCTGGGCAGCTTATTTAAGTTGCCATTTTCGAAAATTTACCCATTATTTTATATTTTGAGCTTTAGACTTTGAAAAGAGGAGATTTTGAAGAGCCATTTCACTACTACCATGAAGGTAAGTGATTTCTACTTAGATTTAATTTTATATATTGATTACCCATGGATTTCTACACCTAAAATGTGGAATTTTAAAGGAAGTTTGGATTTTTTGTCTACAAATTAAGAAAGTGTATTTTGAGGATTTGAGTAACGATTTGGACTCAGTTTTGAAAACTAATTATATATTTGGACTCGGAAGGTTATGGATCATTGGATTTTGGTATTGGTGTCTGACTTCGGGCATGCGGGCCTGGGTTGGCTTTTGTTGACTTTTGAAAATTTCTTCAAAGATCGAAACTTTATGGATTGGGATCGCTTCCTATGGCATTATTGACTTCCTTGGATGATGTTTGTCTTGTATTTTCGCAATTGTAGGACTAGATAAAGGTTTTGGCATAATTCAAGGTTGAAGACTAGCCCGAATGAGGTAAGTATCTTGTCTAAGATTGATTTGAGAGTAATTTCTTTGTTGGCTGTGATATTTGTTATCTGTTGGGGTGACATATATGCAAGGTGACGAGCTTATATGCGTGCACCGGGGTTATTCATGATCAGGGTAGTTCTTAGGCCATTATATACCTTATTTTACTATCATTCTTCTTTGATATTGTGTTTCTCCGTATGTATGACTACATGAGCTCTCATTCATGCTAGAAATTATGTCTAGGCTATTTGCTCATTTGTTGAGGCATGATATGGTTATTTTTGCTATGTTGAGCTATTTGCCTTAGTCGTAGTCATACTTTTCAGTCTTGATATTATATTCGCGTGTTATATCTTTGTCTCTATGCACTTTTTATATGTTATCTCACATGTACTGGTGTCTTTGTGTGTGACACAGGTTTGAGCTAAGTTGTGGCACGTGAGTATATTGCTTGCGTTATATTGATTGTGATTCTGTGAGATATTGGCATATGGAGTCTTGAGCGGATTGATGACCGATCTTAGACCGTAGAGTCATGTTGTTATTGATAGTGAGGTGATGCGTACGCTAAGCCCCATATTAGGCTGAGTGGTATTGATTGTGAGGTGATACGTGCGCCAGGCCCTATATTGGGCTGAGTGATATTGATCTTTGATTTTAATTCGATTAGCGCTTTGATTAGGATCCGCCCCTCTGGAGTCAGGTAATAACCCGTGTTACTTTGGGCCTTGTGAGTACAAGCACTTGATATGTGCTTGGTGAGGGACTTATTTCAGGCCCCCGTACATGTAACGACCCGACTTGTCATTCTGAATATTTACGCTCCTTTAAACTATTTAAAATCTTGAGTAGCTTCATATGATGTATTATGATCAAGTTTGAGTTTTTATTGTATTCGACCTCGGATCGGAGTTTTGATGATTCTGTTAGGTCCGGATGGTAATTTTGGACTCGGGCGTATGCTCGGAATTTAAT